TGGACAGGAATGGGTGAATTTAATACAGATGACCATCAGGTATACTACTGTGGGCAAGAATCCCTCAGAAGAAATGGAGTAGCCTTCATAGTCAATAAAAGAGTAGGAAAAGCAGTACTGGGATACAATCTCCAAAATGACAGAATGATCTCAGTTTGAATCCAAGGAAAACCATTCAACATCACAATAGTCCAAGTCTATGCCCCAACCATTGGTGCTGAAGAGGCTGATGTTGACCAGTTCTATGAAGGCCTACAACACCTTCTAGAACTAACACCAAAAAATAATGTCCTTATCATCATGGGGGATTGGAATGCTAAAGTAGGAAGCCAAAAGATAACTGGAATAACAGGCAAGTTTGGCCTTGGAGTACAAAATGAAGCAGGGCACAGGCTGCTAGAATTTTGTCAAGAGAATACGATGATCATAGCCAGGGGTCGGCAACCCGCAGCTCCAGAGCCGCACGTGGCTCTTGAATCCCTCTGTTGCGGCTCCATCTCCCAAAATACGCGTCACAGCTGCAGATCTGCGACCGAGGCTCCAAGTTACAAAATACCAATAGGTTATAATGAGGCATCCACTCAGGATCGCTGTGCTAGCAGGACAAGTAAATTGTGACATTGCGGGGCAAGAGTGGAACAAGTTTCCTGCAGGCTCTCATGTTACACAAACCGCTGCTGAAAAGATCCTCTTTGTCCAAATGTAATCTCCTTCCTCTGAATGATAAAAGCTGAGCTTGGGACCTGTCACAATTCACATCACTTGACTGTTTATCTGCTAAGCAATCACTAAACACACCTATATCTTCAACTTCCCCTGGTAGGACAACCATGGATAAATCGAAGAAAAGTTTCTGAAGAAAACCAAACGTTTAATGATACGTGGGTAGATTCATTTGTTTTTACTGCTGACGAACTTATGGGGTTTGCTGTTTAATGCATGCAGCCCTTTAGCACTGACTTTGACTCTTCAGGAAGCTGTTCTCCTATTCAAAATATATGAAAGGAGTCCTACTAGTTTATCATGTAAGATTAAAAACAACAGTTTTTAGTGACTGAACAAGAGCTGCTGCTAAATCATAATCAAGATATACATAGCATAACGGTAAAAAATGATATATGCAGTGTTATCTTCATTTTAGATGTCAAAAGGGTTTTGCAGCTTCCAATGTTTTTGTTTGTGTGGGAAACGGGTTCAAATGGCTCTTTGAGTGTTAAAGGTTGCCGACCCCTGGTCATAGCAAACACTCTTTTCCAGCAATCCAAGAGGCGACTCTACACATGGACATCACCAGACGGTCAACACAGAAATGACTATGTGCTCTGAAGCCAAAGATGGAGAAGCTCTATACAGTCAGTAAGAACTAGACCAGGAGCTGACTGTGGCTCAGATCATGAGCTTCTTGTTGCAAAATTTAGGCTTAAACTGAAGAAAGTAGGAAAAAGCACTAGGCCACTCAGGTATGACCTAAATCACATCCCTGATGAATGTATAGTAGAGGTGACAAATAGATTTAAGGAATTAGATCTGATAGACAGAGTGCCTGAAGAACTATGGACAGAGGTTCGCAACATTGTACAAGAGGAAGCAACTAAAACCATCCCAAAGAAAAAGAAATGCAAGAAAGCAAAATGGCTGTCTGAGGAAGCTTTACAAATAGCTGAGGAAAGAAGGAAAGCAAAAGGCAAGGGAGAAAAGGAAAGATACACCCAATTGTATGCAGAATTCCAGAGAATAGCTAGAAGAGATAAAAATGCCTTCTTAAATGAACAGTGCAAAGAAATAGAAGAAAACAATAGAATAGGGAGGACCAGAGATCTCTTCAAGATGATGGGGTGGTCACTGACCTCGAGCCAGACATCCTGGAATGTGAAGTCAAATGTGCCTTTGGAAGACTGAGCAACAACAAAGCTAGTGGAGGTGACAGTATTCTAGCTGAGCTATTCAAAATCTTAAAAGACTATGCAGTAAAAGTGCTACACTCAATATGCCAGCAAATTTGGAAAACTGAACAGTGGCCACTGAATTGGAAAAGGTCAGTTTACATTCCGATCCCAAAGAAGGGCAATGCCAAAGAATGTTCAAACTACTGCACTATTGCACTCATTTCACATGCGAGCAAAGTTATGCTCCAAATCCTACAAGCTAGGCTCCAGCAGTATGTGGACCGAGAACTACCAGAAGTACAGGCAGGATTTCGAAGAGGGAGAGGACCTAGAGATCAAATTGCCAACATACGCTGGATCATGGAGAAAGCTAGGGAGTTCCAGAAAAACATCTACTTCTGCTTTATTGACTATGCTAAAGCCTTTGATTGTGTGGATCACAACAAATTGTGGCAAGTTCTTAAAAGGGATGGGAGTACCAGACCATCTTATTTGTCTCTTGAGAAACCTATATGCGGGTCAAGAAGCAACAGTGAGAACTGGACACAGAACCACTGATTGGTTCAAAATTGAGAAAGGAGTTTGGCAAGGCTGTATGCTGTCGCCCTGCCTATTTAACTTATATGCAGAACACATCATGAGAAAGGCGGGGCTAGATGAATCACAAGTTGGAATTAAGATTGTCGGGAGAAGTATGAACAACCTCATATATGCAGATGCTACCATTCTAATGGCAGAAAGTGAAGAGGAACTAAAGAGCCTCTTGATGCGGGTAAAAAAGAAGAGTGCAAAAGTTGGCTTGAAACTCAGCATTAAGAAAACTAAGATCATGGCATCCAGTCCTCTCACTTCCTGGCACATAGATGGGGAAGAAATGGAGGTAGTGACAGATTTTATTTTTCTGGGCTCCAAGATGACCACAGACGGGGGCTGCAGCCAAGAAATTAAAAGACACTTGCTCCTGGGGAGGAAAGCAATGGCCAATCTAGACAGCATACTAAAAAGCAGAGACATCACCCTGCCAACAAAAGTGTGTATAGTCAAGGCTATGGTTTTCCCAGTTGCAATGCATGGCCCTGAATGCTGGACCATAACGAAGGCTGAGCGCCAAAGGATTGAGGCCTTTGAATTGTGGTGCTGGAGGAGACTCCTGTGAACCCCTTGGACTGCAGGGAGATCAAACCAATCAGTCCAAAAGATCAACCCTGACTGCTCTTTAGAAGGCCAGATGCTGAAGATGAAACTCAAATACTTTGGCCACCTAATGAGTAGGAAGGAGTCCGTGGAGAAGAGCCTAATGCTGGGAACAATAGATGGCAAATGAAGAAGGGGACGGCAGAGAATGAGGTGGCTAGATGGAGTCACTGAAGCAGTCGGCGTGAGCTTAAGTGGACTCCGGGAGATGGTGGAGGACAGGAAGACCTGGAGGAATGTTGTCCATGGGGTCACGATGGGTCGGACACGACTTTGTGACTAACAACAACAACAACAACCCTGGGATAAGATGGGCATGTACTATACTTGCAGTTCTCAAACTGTTAATAAAGTATTTCTTAGGTTTGGAGCAGATGTCAAGAAATCAAGGACCCCTGATTTGAGGATTGCAGCTTGATAGTTTATATGTAGAATGTAAAAACATAATCATACGTAAAATACCCATTTCTAGGGATGAGTGAAGTTGTCAGGGTTGAATTCACCCAAGTTCTTATTTTTTCACTCTTAAGTTTGTATCTGCAATAGATCTTGCCTGCATGAACATTTGTTTGAATGTTTGTCCATAATGGGCATTAATTTATGCATTTGAAAACTTGTGCATTTCAAGTAAAAGCTCATACATTTTGGGAAATTTTCCAATGAATAAAATATTTTGTGCACTTTTTCAAATATATGATTTTTAATGTGCCCTCTTGCTGGAGCAAACTGTATTGCAAAGTTTAAAAATGCATGTATTTCAGTGTCAGGCTACATTTTAGTTTATGATTAGGTTTATGAAGTACAAATCTGGTACATTCATGTTAAAATGCAAATGTAACGAATTTTTCAGCATCCCCAAAGCATTGCTTCTTGTCTGTATTTGTGTTTTAGAAAAAACATTTTTCAGGAACATTCTGTCAGATGGGTGACTCAACTTATAATCCTTTCTGATAGTCCTATGAGAAATCTTGCCAAACATTCAGCACTGAGGCAGGAATTCTTTATGAAGTGAAAGACAATCCATCAAATTCCTGAAATAATCAGTGGTGCAATATTATGTACTTTATAAATCATAAAAATATAATCAAGTGTACAGGTAGCTTCTAGGGGAGTTTCTGTTTTGTATATTTTCTAGTCTGTTCATCCTGGGTTTCTGTAGACTCCTGTAGGCTCAGTCCAGAACATGGTGGTTTAGCCTGTTAAAACTGTTCTGAATAGGGCCTTCCTGTTTTGCTAACAGAGCAATCCTATGTTCCCAGGGACCATAGGGTTCTTTGGAGTTTCCCTTCCAAGTTCACAGGCCTTGGAAGGGGGGCTGCAGTATTCCCCACTCCTTTGTAGCCATTGTGGAATGAAATGCACACTTAGAAAAAAGGAAAAGGTGCATGGGGAAGGGAGAGCAGAGGTAATGATGTGAGGAATGCCCAGGCCCAGCCCTACCCCACTGTCATCCCTATTTAGACAGCCAATGCCAGGGACCAGGCCCAGTGTCCTTTGAGAGGAAGCTGGTGACTCCTATGCGAATGGGAATCATCCTCCATTCCAGCATTTATTATGAGGGTTATAGGAGCTATCTGTGGTACTGATCCCCATCCCTACTCAAGTTCACCACCTTGGATCAGCAGGGATAGCTCTCAGTAAAAGCAGCAATGAATGAAGAACCCCACTGACATAGGAGTCACTGACCTTCTACTACTGAGCTATGGCCCAGTCTAGATTTGTAGATGCGTATGACATCAGTAGTGACCATTTCTTTATGTCAGAAGTTTGTATTATTTTGTTTCAGCTGCACTTAACAAAGTAAAGGCAGCAGATATAAAAGGAATATTGAAAGTATGCTTAAATGTCTAATAATAACCCACTTTAGAAACCCTACAATAAAGATGGAAGTAAGATAACTATATAACTTTTATTTATTAGGATATGGAAGGCTCTGGGATCGTTAGTCTGTCAAGAGAACCTGGAAGAGGATCTAGGGGGCCAAGTGTAAGTAAAGTTGATACCAGCAATTTCTTGCATCAATGGACTATTCTAATTTCCCAACTATTTGTATTTTTTTCTATAACAATTTGGATTTTTATTTACTGTCTAGGTATTTTATCATTGGTTTCTTACACTTTTGAAATATTGTGCCTTGCTACCACAGTTACATTCTGACTTACAATACCAATGGAAAACCACTATGCAGTTTGGGGCTTCTCTAAATACAGGAGAAAACAGTGGCTGGAAGAGCAGGTTGGGGTAAATGTTCTGAATCGGATGTTCTGAATCTGATGTAAATGTTCTGAATCAGAATTGGCAATGACATCATTCTCCTCAAACATGCCGTTATCGTTTTTTCCATGCATGCCCACTTGAATGGAGCAACTCCTTCATTTCAAGTAACAGAGCTGAAAAGAAGATTGTATGTTTGAAGAGAACTTAATTAAAACTGCTGTTACAGAAAGAGATTTCTTGTAGTTGTTGGCACTTACATTCTGCCACACTTCCTTCTACTGGAATGGCAATTATCCAATAAAATATTCTTCATCCAAGTTTTAGATGAGGCTTTTATTGTGAAGTCACCTTCATTGTAAATCCCAGAATTGTTATGATGGATGCAGATAATGTTGTCTTTCATTGCCTTCCAGTATTTGCTCACCACTGATTCCATCATTTTTTAATCACTGGAGAAAATTAATTAAGGAGAAAATGACAACATAGCAGCACACAGGTGTAGCACTGCAAGCACTAGGAGCCCTCTGTTTGGAAGAAACCCTGTGTATCCCAGCTCTGCTATGCCCGTGTTGCTTTGGGAGGAAATGTGGTGCTGAGCTTCCTCTCACCTTGAAGGTATCCAATAAGGAAGGGATTTTGGCTTTGAGGCAAGGCAAAGCTCACTACAGAGCTATCGATTACAGAAACATTCTTCCCAGGAGCTACTTCTGATATGACAATTTATTCTTTGGCTCCATTACATGCATTTCTCATGAATTATAAGAGCTATATGTGCATATAATAAGCAGCAAGGATTCCTATTTAAAAGCCACAGAGGTGAGTATCCAGATCTTGCCCAATCTGCAGTTGCAGTAATTTCATAAGGGATTTCTATATGCATATACTCTTAATAATGAATATTTTTACCTGAGTGCAATGTCTCCTGTAAGAAATCAGCCTTTAGAATTTTAAAAGAGCAACAAAAGTGGGAGAGCTGGTGAAGAAAACACTACCTACCAGTCAAAGTGCTATAGTGTCCACCAAGCTACTGTTAGTGTGCTGCAGTGGTAAATTCTGGAGTGCAGCTGCTCATCATTACGTCCATTGTAGGAAAAACAATGGAAAGGCTCATAATACAGAGAGGGATAGTGATGCTAGATAGGGAAGGGAGGCTGGCAGCCACACAACACAGCTTCGGCAAAAACAGGTCCTGCCAGACAAACCTTGTGGAATTCTATGACAAGGTTTCGAGATGGCTAGATGGAGGGGATACAGTAGATGTGGTTTACCTGGATTTCAGCAAGGCCATTGACAAAGTGCCCCATGATATCCTGGTGGAGAAACTGAGGAGTTTTGGGATACACCAAAGTACTGTCCGGTGGATTAGGGCATGGTTGACTGACCGAAAGCAGGAGGTAACCATTAGTGGGGAATCAATGGGATGGCGGCCAGTGACAAGTGGGGTCCCCCAGGGCTCTGTCCTGGGGCCAATCCTGTTTAATCTTTTCGTTAATGACATGGAAGAAGGGGTGAACAGTCTGCTTATCAAATTCGCAGACGACACTAAAACTGGAGCAGTGGCCACAACTGAGGAGCAAGTACTCCAGATCCAAAAGGATCTGGACAGACTATGGAAGTGGGCAGGAGACAACAGGGTGGCATTCAATGTGAATAAATGCAAGGTCTTGCACTTGGGGCATAGGAATAGGTGTCATAAGTACAGGTTAGGGGACAAGTGGCTGGAGGGCAGCACTTGTGAAAGGGACCTCGAGGTACTGGTTGACTGCAGGCTAAACATGAGTCAGAAGTGTGATGCAGTGGTTAAGAGGGCGAATGCCACCCTTGGTTGCATAGCCAGAAGTGTGGCTTCTAGATCGAGGGAGGCATTACTACCACTCTAGATGACTCTGGTGTGCCTGCAACTGGAGTATTGTGCTCAGTTTTGGGCCCCTCATTACAGTAAGGATATAGCCAGGTCAGAGTCAGTGCAGCATAGGGCCACAAGGTTGGCGGCCGGTTTGCAGGGGATGGGGTATGAGGCGAGACGGAGGGAACTGGGTCTCTTCAGCCTGGAGAAGAGGAGACTCAGAGGGGCTATGATGGCGACATATAGGTATGTGAGGGGATGTCACATGGAGATAGGTAGAGATCTGTTCTCCCCTGCAGAGGAAGGCAGGACGTGCTCCAATGAAGCAAAGCTCAGGGAACCAAGGTTCCATTTAGATACCAGGAAGCACTTCCTGACAGTTAGGACACCGAGGGTATGGAATGGGCTTCCACGAGAAGTTGTTGAGGCCCCATCAGTGAGGGTGCTCAAAGATAGGCTGGACGTGCACATGGTGGGCATGTCGTGAGTGGAGCTGGGGGTCAGACTAGATGCCCTGGGAGGCCTCTTCTGACTCACTCTGTTTCTGTGTTTCTATCATGACAGTCCCCATAGCCACTCCTTTAAGGAGACTCCAAAAATACAGGCATCTGTGATGATCCCTATCTACAAGGCCGCTCCAGCATCTCGTGTTCATCAGGAGCAAGTCTTGTGTAAAGCTAATGGGTCCTGGCTGCCCTGTCAAAATAAAACCTTTTCAAAACACTTTGTGTTATACCAGGAAACACTTCTTGCTGGAAAAAAATCATTTCCCTCCCGCTACTGTGTGAATTGTGGCTAAACTCAGAGGAAACATGGCAGTCTGAGGGGAATGGGGGTAGCAAATGTTGTCAGCATCTCAACTAATAAAAAAGTGCCAGGCCTGGAGCTGCCCTCCCATGAGGACTGACTTTAGTATGCCACCAGCATAGCATAACATAGCATAGCATAGCGGTGGGAGAACTGGATTATGGAGAGTTGAGTTCAAGTTCCTGTTCCACCATGAATTTCCCTAACTGACCTTTGGTCAGTCAATATTACTAATTCCAACTGAGCTTGCTAGAGCTGAGAAAATTGAGAAAACCACTTTTAGCTCTTTGGAAGGGGACATAACATTTTATGTAACATTTGGGACATAACATTTACATAACAATTGTATAGAAAGCAAGCAATATATCATATGTAAATTCTCAGAATTACCATGTGTAATAAAGTATGTATCACTGTTTTGAGCATTCAGCTCCCAGTAACCTGCTAACACATACTAACAGGTAATGCAGAAAACAAGTTACAAAGGCTAAAAAATGAAAGTCCATAAACACCAATTTTATCAGTTATTACGAAACTGCTGTAATGCCTATTGACAGTTCACTGTAGATGGTGAAAATAAAGACCTTGAGTCTCACAAAAGAGTCTGCTACTAGAGAAACGTTGATTGACAACCCGCTTGTTTTTTGGAACAACAATAACTGGCTGGGGCTGTGCTATGCTTAGAAGGTCTTGGATTGTGCCATTCCAGATATTATTGCACAAAGAAGGGCAATCTGGTTGAGTGGATGTTACTGTTGAGTTTATTTTTTACAATAACTATTTGATATTATTTGTACCTCTACATTTTTATATTTTTCTGTGCCTCTTTCGAACATCATTTGCCATTTCAATAGCTTGACTATGGGCATATCATCTTTGTGTACATGGTGATTGTTTATGTTTCTGTACCTTTTAAGTACAATATAATCTGTATCATGGTTTTGTAATTCCATAGCCTTCAGTTGTGAGTTGGCGCACAAGCATTTTATTTGTCACTAAAGATTAGGAGTAACTTCTCCCAAAGGTTGAGGGTAGAGATTCAATCATGCAAGTACTCCTGTCCAAGGGGGAAAAAAATGAGTTAACCAACCTGGGAACTAAGCAACCCTCATCTACTTCTAGGAATAAAATTCTCTGAACCAGAAACATGTTGGATCAGTTGGAACAGAGAATGACATCTACAAATATCACTTAAGACACAGTCCTATGCATATGTAGACAAGTCCCATTCCCTCTGCTACATCATTCTACTATCACATTGATTGGCATATTGTAAGTGTGAAGGCATGATCCATGGCGTTCAATGTATTCTCGGTATAGGGTTGATTTGCTATTGATGTGGGTAATTTAATTATTTCATTAGCTAATGACACTATCTGAGGGTATACATGCAAAATTTCAAATAAGTGTGATCATTAGTTCCCTAGTAATCCTCAGTAAAAGATGACCATGATGACTGAAGTGACAATGTTGAAGAAAATTGAGCACCACGCTGTGATTAAGTTCCTGACAAAACAAGGAAAAAGTCAAAAAATCATTCACAAAGAGATAGTGGCCGTTTACCAGGACTCTGCACCTTCATTATTTACTGTTCAAAAGTGGTCAAGTGAATTTAAAAGGGGGAGAGAAAGCACTGAAGACAACCCTCGCTTGGGCGGGCCGGTTACAGCCACTACGAAAGAAAATGTGAAAAAAATTGAGAAACTCGCTTTGGAAGATGCCTGAATAAAAATCAAAATGTTAGCAGAGATGACAAACCTATCTGTTGGTACCATATTTACTATTTTTCATGACCATCTTAACCTTTCAAAGGTCTGTGTAAGATGGGTGCCGCAAATGCTCATGGCGAGTGCGAGTCGAGTGCTGTAGGGAGTTTTTAGAGTGTGAGTTGAGTGCTGTAGGGAGTTTTTAGAGCTCTGTGGTGAAGATCCATCGAGTATTTTCAACCGGATTGTTACAAGAGATGAAATTTGGGTTCATCACTATGATCCTGAAAGTAAGCAGGAGTCCATGCAGTGGCATAAAAAAGGTGCTGACCCTCTGAAGAAATTCAGAGTCACTCAATCGGCCGGAAAAATCATGGCCACAGTGTTTTGGGACTCAAAGGGAATTTTATTGATCGAGTACACGAAAAAAGTTATGCTCAAAATCCTACAAGATAGGCTCCAGCAGTATGTGAACCAAGAACTACCAGAAGTACAGGCAGGATTTTGAAGAGGGAGAGGAACTAGAGATCAAATTGCCAACATATGCTGGAATATGGAGAAAGCTAGGGAGTTCCAGAAAAACATCCACTTCTGCTTCATTGACTATGCTAAAGCCTTTGATTGTGTGGATCACAACAAATTGTGGCAAGTTCTTAAAGGGATGGGAGTACCAGACCATCTTATTTGTCTCTTGAGAAACCTATATGTGGGTCAAGAAGCAACAGTTAGTCCTGGACATGGAACCACTGATTGGTTCAAAATTGAGAAAGGAGTTCGGCAAGGCTGTATATTGTCGCTCTGCCTATTTAACTTATATGCAGAGCACATCATGAGAAAGGCGGGGCTAGATGAATCACCAGTTGGAATTAAGATTGCTGGGAGAAATATCAACAACCTCATATATGCAGATGATACCACTCTAATGGCAGAAAGTGAAGAGGAACTAAAGAGCCTCTTGATGTGGGTGAAGGAGGAGAGTGCAAAAGTTAGCTTGAAACTCAACATTAAGAAAACAAAGATCATGGCATCCGGTCCTCTCACTTCCTGGCAAATGGATGGGGAAGAAATGGAGGTAGTGACAGATTTTATTTTTCTGGGCTCCAAGATCACCACAGATGGGGACTGCAGCCAAGAAATTCAAAGACGCTTGCTCCTGGGGAGGAAAGCTATGGCAAATCTAGACAGCATACTAAAAAGCAGAGACATCACCCTGCCGACAAAAGTGTGCATAGTCAAGGCTTTGGTTTTCCCAGTTGCAATGTATGGCTGTGAAAGCTGGACCATAAGGAAGGCTGAGCGCTGAAGGATTGAGGCCTTTGAATTGTGGTGCTGGAGGAGACTCCTGCGAGTTCCTTGGACTGCAAGGCGATCAAACCGGTCAATCCTCAAGGAGATCAACCCTGACTGCTTTTTAGAAGGCCAGATCGTGAAGATGAAACTCAAATACTTTGGCCATCTAATGAGAAGGAAGGACTCCCTGGAGAAGAGCCTAATGCTGGGAACAATAGATGGCAAAAGAAGAAGGGGATGGCAGAGAATGAAGTGGCTAGATGGAGTCACTGAAGCAGTTGGCGTGAGATTAGGTGGACTCCGGGGGATGGTGGAGGACAGGAAGGCCTGGGGGAATGTTGTCCATGGGATCATGATGGGTCGGACATGACTTCGCGACTAACAACAACAACATGAAAAAGGGTGAAACCATAAACGAAGCATCTTACGCAACCACTCTGAGTAATTTAAGAGAAGCAATTAAAGAAAAAAGGCGGGGAAAACTGACTGCAGAGGTGCTGCTTCTTCACAACAATGCACCCATTCAAACGGTGCGTGTTTCGAAGGCTGCTGTGCAAGACTGTGGTTTCGAAGAAATAAACCACCCACCCTATAGCCCGGACCTGGCCCCCAGTGACTACTACCTATTCCCGAATTTTAAAAAAGAGCTTCGTGGAAAGTGACTTCCCAATGATGAAGAGTTCAAGGCGGCAATGAACGCATATTTTTTAGACAAGGAGGAAGGGTATTTTTTACAGGGAATTGAAAAGTTAATTTCTAAATTTAATAAGTGTATTGAAGTTATGGGGGATTACATTGAAAAATAAAAATTATTTCAGTTTGTTATTCCTTTTTCTTCATGCTGATACCGAGAATACATTGAACGCCCAGTCTAACATGTTTAGACTGAAAAGAAAAAGGCTTACAACTCCTAGCATGCCCCAGCCAGCATAGCCATATAGCATCCTGATAGCATGATGCAGCAGCAGGAGACGTCTAGTTTTCTCCATTTGTCTGTTCTGGAAAGATGATACAAAGTGTTTTCAATCTATCTTGAAGGCCACTCCAGACCAGATATTACAAAGCAGGTGCATTTCATCATTTTGTTTTGTTCCTTGTTGTAAGCTGTCCCGAGTCATCGGTGGTTGGACAGGGTACAAAAATTTTGAATAAATATATAAATAATTTCCCCCTTTTTTTAGAGAGAGCTGGTGCAGATGGCTGTGATCTATAGTGCAGTGCCAAATTCAGAAAAAAGCTGCTTAATTCTTTCCCTCTGACTGTTGTTGTTATTGTTGTTGGTGGCAGCTTAAAATCAATTGCTGGCTACTTTCCATCCAGAAAGGAATCACAACCTGTGATGGTAGTCTTAATTTTTTAAAAATGCCAAGACTGTAAACCCTCCCATCAAACCCATTCAAAATGGCATCTTTGATAGGAAAAGACCTTGCAGGGATGATTTACTCAAAAAATGCTTTTCACCAATGTTGCTGCTACTTTATATATTTGAAACTAATATTTTTACATTTAAAAAACTAGTCATCATGGGTTATTTTAGCCAAAGTTCTCAAAATCTGTAAAGCATAATAGTTTTTTCAGTTTGTGCATGACCAGTTTTACACATGGATTTTGGGTTGTGCCTGCAGAACCTCATAAAAATGGGCTTCCCTCCCAGATTGTACACTCAGAAACAACATAACCTTTCTTAGTGTGCAATGTTATAGGGTCCAGCTGGAAAGACTGGTTTACAAGGATCAATGGGAGCAAAGGTAATGAATGCAGTAAACTATCTGAAAATTTGAATATTTTAGAAATTATTGTGGCAAAAATTATGCTTGCTCCATCAGCAGAACCCCAAGTAATTTATGCCTTTATTGGATGAACAGTACTCATTCTAATAGTGAATTTCAGATGATCCAGTGCCTCTTGGTTGGAAATACAATGGGTCCACTCCAAGAATCAAGCAGTGGGGGGGGGGTCATATTTGGAGAGTTCCCTGCATGCATAGAAATATACAGATTTGTAAATTAAATAAAAAGATAAAAATAAACCTCACAAAGAAGCTGACAAGAACCTGTGAGCTTTTAGCATTTACATAATGTTGATGATAACTGAGCCTATAGCAACAGTAGAGACAAGTTGTTGTCTCTATTGTTGCCCTACACATTGTCTGGAGACAGAATTCCTTTGTTGACACTGAATGGCAAAGGGAGGTGCTCCTGTTTTTGTTGCTTCGTGTAGCAGCTGGGCACAGGGCTAGGAGTTGCTGCACTATTTGATATTTACAACTACACTAAAGTCTTGGATTACTTGGTTGTTTTCTATGAGCCACCTTTGCTTTGAAAAAGAATCTGACAGACCAAATGGTTTCTTTGCTCCCCAGGCTCCCCTGGCATGATTCACCTCAGTCTCTTTAACTTTCTGTTTGAAGCCTGAAGTAATCTGAAGCTAAATTATAGAGCATTTCTCTATATTTACAGCAGGAAACCACTCCCAAGACTTTCCGTCCTCTGGAGCTTAAGCATTCATATTGAGAGTTCCTGCATTCTCCCACAGCATTTCCAAGTGTTGTCTTTTGTGAATGCTACAATGTTGGCTTGGCTCAAAACTTGACAATTTACAGAACCCTAAACAACTTATCTTAGTGCAGATTATTAATAGTGAGATGTGTCTGTACCACCTCCCACCTATCTCTAAACCTTTCTGGGTTTCACCTGCATTCCTGTAGTGATGGGGAAAGAAGATGGACTTTTATTTGCTTATACTCTAATGTAAGAATCTTTTCATAAGAATCATAGAGACAGGATTGTATTTGATGAAGCCAGTTGGGACTGAGGAAGCTGTCCCCCTAACTTTTTTCTGCCCTGCATTTTGCATAATTGTAACTGTACAAGTTTGCCTTCAAAAGCAAACCACAAGAACTGGTCCTCCTAGTTTGTTGGCAGCCTCCCTGCACATTTAAAGCCCTGTTGAAGTCTAGCTGGTGGCAGAGGCCAGAGTATCCTTCCTATATCTCATATCTGAGCACCTAGAGCAACTGATACTTGGTGTATAGTTGCTTCTGCCAGGGGCAGGAAAGGAAATTCCCCATTCCTCTTGCTTCCGTGGGTGATTGCTTTGTTTTTGGTGGCCATCAGTTCATTCTCCCTCCCCACCCCCCCCACCCCCAATGCTGCTGCATCCTGAAAAAGCTGGGGGCAGGAAGGGCAGCTGAGTCTCACTGAGAGAAATGTCATCACAGCATTAGCTTGCCCATAGATATCTCTTCTCTCCTCAGATACATAGAGGAATCCATAGCACCACAGGATTTCCTCCAGAGAGCAAAGCTTCTCTGGGCTCTCCTTTTCTAATCTAGCTCCAGCACAGATGAACTTCCTCCCACATACAGAGACTTCATTTGCTTCCTTCCATTGTTTAGAGGGAGGGGAGTGGGATAGAAGTATGAGTCATTCCTCCCCATCACAGATGCCTTTCTGGACCATCCTTGAAATGTTACCAGCTTTCATCCATGCTTTTTCTTGTCTTACAATTGTGCCCCAAGACACCCACATTGATAATTCAGAACCAAACTATACATTGCAATAGTGTATAAATAAGTTGGATTGTTTCTGTCAGCCTTGTATAACTGTGCATGGCCCCAATTTAGATCAGGACCAGCATGCACCAGGAAGGAAGGGTTAAAATCACCCATTCCCCCCAGCCCAGTCCCCCTTTTCCCTAAAAGAAAAAAGAAATGTGAAAGCAAGCTTCTTTTTAATCTATAAAATAATGCATATGTTGTTATATTCTAAATGTGAAAGTGGTTCATTTTTTGTATTTTAGGGAGAAAAGGGTGACACTGGAGCACCGGGTATACCTGGCGTAAAGGTAAAGGGTTACTTAATTCTGATATTTAAGCTGATTTTGTTGATCTGTTTGGCTTCTAAGAAAGATTAACAACTTTGCTGAAATGCCTCATTGCTCTAGGACAGGGGTGGCAAACTTTCTCTCTCCCCACGGGTCCATTTCCTTCAGGAGAAAGTACGAGCTCAGGCACACATATGGTTGTGCCAAAGCATGTGCACAAATACACACAAACACATCCCTGCCTCACTCCATTTCTGTGGCTTACACTGAGAAAAGGAGCTGCATTTTCAGTATGCAGCTGAGAGGCAAAGTGAGCTGCCCATGGCAGAAGATGTCACCCTTTTCCTCCATGGGCTTGTGACTTCCTTCTCTGCTGCATGTGGAAAATGGAGCTTCCCTTCTCAGCATGTACCAGGAAAATGAAACCTGCCTACCCCTCAGTGAGTACCACTTTCTCTCTCGTTTCCCCCAAAAGAGACAAATACTGATCAGAAGGCAGAGAAGTACACACACAACCAAGGGAGAGTGACAGCTTGAGGATCTTAACATGTCAGGGTCTCACTGGGTGATCCATTTTCTCAAGCCTTCCTGCCACCTTGTCATGTCTCTTGGTTTGCCCCTGAAAATGAATGAGAGACTGTTCTCCATCCCTGCTTTAGGAATTCCAGAAGATTCCAAAGTAGGTCTAGTTCTCATGTGATATTGTCAAGCATGCAGGCCTACAGTTGTGTATTTTGCCATATGAGGAAATATATGTTTTCTTCTGACAGATACAGCTGGAAACTTAACCAAATTCTATTTCTAGATGTGTGTAACGAGCTGAAATGAACAACACTGCATATCTGTTCTCCCATTTAAAAATGTGTATCTTTATATATGGCATATGAAATTGCAATGAGACAAGCCTTTAGACAAATTTCTTCTCTGCAATGGCACCGTCTATTAATAGATGCTGTACTGCCATTTGTTAGCAAGATGTTTGCAGGATTGATGAGAAGAACTGAAGAACCCCTAACTTGCCTACACGTACACTGAATCTGCTATTTTTTTTCTCTTTGGGAACAGATAGGGGCTAGGCTGCATATTTAGCGCTAGTACTTCATTTGCCCACTTTTAGAAATACTTGAATTATCCATTGATAACTATCCTACCAGTTCACTGAGATCTGGGACTGAGGTCCTTCTGAGAGAGCCATCCCTACAAGAGAGGTAAAGGGGATGGCATATAGAAGTGCCTTCTCAGTGGCTGCCCCCAACCTTTGAAATGGGCTTCCTAAAGAGATCTGCCTGGCACCGTATCTACTTTCATTTCAACTCCAGGCAAACCCCATCCTGAAACCTCAATTTTAATCCTGCGTGTAAGTGCCCACTCCAATAGATTTCCTCCACTCTTCCCCCTGTACTTGTACTGTTTGTGTATATTGTAAGCTGC